GACTTTATTGTAATAATTATATGACTTTATTCTCATAATGTTACATTTTTATTTTTGTTATATTTATGACTTTATTCTCAAAATATTATAACTTTATTCTCATAATGTTGCGACTATTCTCGTAAATTTACCATTTTATTCTCTTAATGTTAAAATTTTATATGATCCTGTTGCAACTTTATTCTCATAATATTATGACTTTATTCTTGTAATATTATGACTGCATTCTGATATTATCTCTTTATTCTCATAATAATATAACATTATTCTCATAATTACATGACTTTATTTTTGTAAATTTACGATTTCGTAATGTTACAATTTTTTTCTCTCCATGTTTTGACTTTATTCCCATAATATTATGATTTTATTCTTATAATATTACGACTTTATTCTAGTAATTTTGAAACTTTATTTTCTTAATACTATGATTTATTGTAATAATTATATGACTTTATTCTCATAATATTACTGCTTTATAATATTACATTATTGTCATAATTGTCTCGTATTAGAAGAAAAGCTAAATCTCTAGCCTTGCCCTAAGGCTCAGCCAGTCAGTGGTAAGCTAAAAAGCTACAACAAAAGCTTTGATCACTTTGCAGGAAACAATTCTATAATAATAATAATTTGTGGTAATAAAGTGGTAAGCTGCCAAAGCAAGGTTGTCTTTACACATATAGCATTAATGAAAGGAGCAGTCAAAGGGCCTGTTGTAACTCTGGAGGCGCTGCAGAGACCCAAAGCTCAGGTTGTCTACAAACAACTATTAGTTCAGTCAGATGGCTCCTATATAAATGTTTACAGACTTCCCTGTTAGACAATGTTAAGTAAAAAAAAAAAGGAAAACTAATGTTAAAAATAGCCTGAACAAAAAAAAAAAGAAAACAGAAAAGCAAAGTTTTGTTTCCAGGGGACCTCTTACTGTGGGACACCACCCTAGGAAAGGAGGCTCCGTCTGAATTGTTCTAAAAGGAACCAAAAAACTGAAACCAAACATTTCTACCTGGTTGGTCTCTGAAAATGTTTCCTTTTCTTGGAAGGAAGTTAAATTAATCTGGGACACAAAGTTGAATAATTAACAAATATCATTTAATATTCAACAATGTTGGTTCAAAACATTCCTGCCCGCCTGGATGGCTTTAAAAACAAGTTCTTAAAAAGTGAAACTTTTGTCTTTAATATTATAAATTGGATTATTTACAAATTCACAGTAATTCCTTTATTTAATTTCTTCTTCTCTGCATATTTTTGTGTAATTCAATAGAGACGCTTCCTGTGTGATGTCATATCCTGGAATCTTATGTGAATGAGTTGTCATAGTGTGTGCTTTATGTTTGCCTGCAGGTCAGCTTTCTCCACCATCAGCAACAAGGAAGGAAGTAGGAAGAGGAAGCAGGTTTAGTTAGCATAGGAACCTTCTTACATTCCTCTAGAGATAAGGTTTCCCACAATCCTTTGCTTGACAGGAGTTAGAGGCACAAGGACTTTAAAGATAATACATTATTTTTCCATGTGCACTCCGTGTGACTCATTATGTTCACACCTTTGTATGTTTAGCGTTTTATATCAGAGAGCTTCAGCCGGTCGCCATGTTTGGGGAATAGTCTGTATGGCGTCTGGATTCAGCACAGCAGTGTGGAGCTCCTTTCCTAGCCTATTGACCCGTTAAAGCTGAAGAAACAGCAGGGAGGAGCAACCATTGAGGTATTTGGTTCGATCCGACAGCTTTTTTAATGAGTTGAAACACCTGAGTGGCTTTCTGAGATGCTGAGGACATGCATCTCACGAACAACCTGGAAGATGCCAACCTGGTAGGACAAACGTGACATTTGGTCTGATGACTGGATGCTGCCTTGGATCATAGCAGCAGTCTTTTTAAGTTAATGTTTAAAAGGAAAACCTGCTTGATAAATGTAGAAGTAAATCTACTTCTGATTTCGAAAAAACACATGTTTTATAAACCAGATTTATGTAAAATTATTTATGAAACTTAAAGGAAAAGTCTGCTTATATTCAGAATTCAAACTTCTGAAAGTATTTTAAATCGGAAATGATTCCATCCTGTTCAATAAATGAAAAGTGTTTTTAATTCAGAGTAATTTTCATTGTGCTCTACTGGAGGCATCCATGTTTGTCAAAGAACACTACTGCCACCTACTGGTTAGTGACGTCACAGTGCGGTATCGGCTGTTGATCAAGTCCCAGTGCTGTGTCTGGTGTTTGTCACAACGCGCTATTATCCAAGTCATCTTGAAAACATTCTTCTTCCAAATGTTGGCTACATATTACGGGTTTTTTCTCTGGCCAGAAGTTCGATGGCAAATCCTCCCTCTTCAAGTTGGCGATCCAACGACCAACCCGTCCGTGGAGGATCAGGAATCAGAAAGGTGGAATAACTCTTTTTTTTTCACTTTTACCCGATGTATTCCAGCATCCAGCTGCCATGCACGTGGGCATTGTCAGTTTCACTATAGCTCTGGTGAATTTCAATGGTGAAGTCCTCTGGAAATCTTCAATAATTGTTGTTGATTGCAGATGTGTCTAGTAGTTCCCATTGATTTAGCTTGTAAAGCGGGGAGAATGGCGCTAGGCTTACCGCACCGTGACGTCACTGCTGGAAGATGGCAGGAGGGAGGGGTTACTATATTTGGGCAAAAATGGCCGCTCCCAGACTCAGTGATCATGACGAAAATTGTTGTTTTATTTTTTTTTTTACTGGTTAACACTAAACTCATTAAATCACCGCAAACGTATTAGTTTTAGGCATAAATAATGATCTATTGATTATTCCCTGGTGACCGGACTTCTCCTTTAAATGTAGCATTCTGAGGTGTAAAAAGTAATTTTTTATTTTTTTTTTGAAGGTTATGAACCTGCAATAAATCTAAAGAGAAAGAAAGAAGATGGACGCAAAAGACAGAGTCATGTTTGGAAACTGGACAACAAGATTAAACCTACAGAGAGTCTGAAGGAGAACATTTTAGATCCAATCATTTTCAGGATTCAGAAAGGCCAAGACCATTGATCCTTAACCTTTACTGTCCAAAGAGCTGCTCCTGTCCTCCCTTTCTTTAGAAAAGACAACATAGAGTAATTATTGCACTGGAAGAAATCGAAATCTACATACTTTTTATTTTATTTTTTTAAGTGCATTTTTGACTGGATTGAGGCGGTAAAAGAGACATTTTGCCAATGGAACAAGACAATTTACACTTAAATAAGAAAACACAATTGCATTATCCTATTTCAAGTGCATATTATCTAATTATCTTTAGAGTAAAAATACTCATTCCATTGGCGAACTATCTAATTTACCTACTCAAATTAAGGGTAAGTACAATTATTTTAAGACATTTTTACTTATTTCTAGATTGTTTTTCCAGTGTAAGAGCCACTTAATGTCCAAAGAGCCACGGTGGCCTAGTTAAAGTCAAGACGTCCATTTTCTTTATAATTCCACCAGAGGTGTCAAGTAACGAAGTACAAATACTTCGTTACTGTACTTAATTACACTTTTTAGGCATCTATACTTTACTCCATTACTTATTTTTCTTCCTACTTCTGACTTCTACTCATTACATTTTCACACAAGTATCTTTAATAGTACTTTCTATTTCTTACATTTTTAAAACAAACGTTACTCGTTACTCTTGGCTTCGGTTTAATGTTTCTAAATCTTTATTTACCGTCATGTGCTCCATCCAATGCAGATCATTGGCTCCACCCACATCTAGTGAAAACTAGTGTGATTGGATGAGTCATAGAACGCAAACACTCATGTCTGAAATGTCTGAAAGGTCGGACACAGGCGAGAGCGTATCGGGAGACGGAGACCAACAAGACCTCCCTCATCCTTGGCCCTATCTGTAAGAATCTTTAGAAATAGTCGAACAATTTAGCTTTCAATTCATATAGCGGCATCTGGCTGGTTTTTTTTAAAGGTTACTTTATACTTTTATACTTTAAGTAGTTTTTGGAGCACATACTTTTTCACTTTTACTTGAGTAAAGAGGTCAAGTTGATACTTCAACTTTTACCAGAGTGTTTTTAAACTGCAGTATCTATACTTCTACTGAAGTAGCAAATGTGTGAACTTCTGACACCACTGAAAATAAGTTTTTCTTGCATTGAGGAGGTAAAATAGACATTTTGCCAATGGAACAAGACAATTTACATTTAAAATAACAAAAAACAACTGCATTGTCTCATTTTAAGTGCATATTATCTAATTATATTATGTTAAAAGCAGCAAATCATCTTATTTGCTGCTGAAATTAAGGGTGAATACACTTAAAATAAGAAATGTTGACTTAATTCTAGATTGTTTTTTAAGGGCACTGCAAAAAAGAAATAAATTTAAGTCAATTTTTTCAAGAATAAGTTTATTTTCCCTTGTTTTGAGTGGATACAACAATTTAACAATTTGTATTGTGACTTACATTTAAAGGAAGAAGAAACTACTCCATCACCTTATTTTAAGTGCATAATATTTCTTTATCTTTTTTTAAGGGTAGAAATCCTCATTCCGCTGGCCGATCATCTCAGATTACCGGTTCTATACTTCTACATCTATACTTATCATCTATACTTCTACTGAAGTAACGAATGTGGGAACTTTTGACACCACTGAATTCCACTAACCGGTGATAAAAAGGGAAGAATTTCAGTCTCTGTTTGAATGTAAGAGGCTGATGCATTATTTTTATTGCCTTTGGGCCTGAATATAGCTTTTTATTCTTGGTTTTATTCCGCTTAACATTTTTTAAACTACAATAAAAGAAAATCTACTAACTTCCTTTGCTGTCTGATCTGTCCTAAAACTGATAACTTGATTACTACAACTATTGATCATAGTTGTAAAATTGTGTCTTTGTAAGTCGCTTTGGATAAAAGCACCTGCTAAATGCATTAATATAAACGGACATAAAATGTGGTTAAAATGATCGTTTAACTGAAAGCGGTGCCTAATGGGATACGGTTGCTAAGAGACGGCGTACCTGTTTCTGGTTGTTGAGGTGCATTTCCCGGTCGGCCACCTCATGGCGCAGCCTGTCCACGTCCTGGCTGAGCTGCAGCCGATCCTCCCGCTCATCGGAGGCTTCGTCCAGCTGCTTGGACAGGTAGAAGTTCTGCCGGTTCAGCTCGGCGTTCTCCTGAGTGAGAGTGGTCAGCTGCTCCTCCAGGTCAGTGATCACCTGAACGCAGAGGGAAGAACTTAGATAAATGCTAAAATCATGTTTCTGGAAAGAGACTTTCCTGACTCTTTATTTCACAGATTCCATATAAAAGGACAATAACTGACCTCTGAACTTCCCTGACCTGCTCTGCTGTACCTTATGACTTTATGTCTGCAGAAGCCGTTCTCATTTAAGGTTTATTCATATTTTATTGCAACAAATAAACCTCTTAATGGTCAAACAAGTAACTTAACGTCTTACTGTAATTTTCAGGTATTGCAATTTTTTTTTGCTAGTTAAAAAAAAAAAAAACTTCTTTTACAAACAGGAAAACATTTTCTTGTGCATAATGGTGTGACAAAAGTCACTGTGTCCGATCTAATAACGATAGCGATCCACCTGGAATAATAGGGGAGCATCGATTGATGTAATGATCCTGAGATCGACAGCCGGCAGATAAACGGATCTCATCCATCGATCTCTCACTAAGCATCTTGTTTACATTAGAAATCAGAATCTTCTGTCTATAAAACGAGGTTTTAGAGTTTTGTTTATTTTAATCTAAAATAAATTGGTATCAGTCAAAACCAGAATCTGCATGTCTTTAGTCTTAGTCTTATAGATCTATAATCTTTGTAAAGATCGGTGATCGGCCACAAAACTGCAATCGGTGCAGCCCTACTAGAACAACCCAGTCTCATGGGAAAATGTACCCCCACTACGTTGGTCCACACTGCAAAACGTAGTGGAGGTACATTAATGGCCATTTTTTTGTGGTACTGTTACGTTTCTTCTGCCTATACGCTTTCTATTGTTTTACGTCCTAGTCACGTGACTTTCAAGATTCCAGCTGGGAGAAGAAAAAAAATATATAGATGGCCGACATTCGCTCATTTTTTTGTGGAAAGATTAATAACTTGACTTTGTTTTTGCATTAAAATGAGTTTTGATTACATTTCTAGTGAGAAATGTATAGTTTGTTGCCAGAATATTTACTCAGGGAATGTACATATTCACTTGCTTGTTCGTTTCTTGCAAAGATTTTTCAAGATAATGTGAAACTGAAACGTTTTGGTATAAACATGGCTGAGTTTTCTCTAACTTTTAGTGGGAAAATCAATAATTTCAATCAGTTTCTGCATTTAAATGGGTTTTGATTACATTTATAGCGAGAAGTGTAGGGTTTATTTACATAATATTTACTTAGTGAACATACATAATCACCCACTTGCTAGTTTTTGCTACGGTTTTTCGGATCTCGTCAGGATTATGTGAAATTGCAACGTTTTGGCTGCTACCCATCGCCTAGCATTTAGCTGCCGCCCCGATTCAACATCGAATTCTTTGTGATTTAACTCCATCTGACGGATCAAACCCTCGCCACTGCGTGCGTTGCGTCTGAGGTTGATTTTCAGATCAATGCATTACGTCGTGGCAAACGGGAGAAACTAATTAAACTAGTTAAAAAAAGGATAATGGGTTAAGATCGGATGTGTTTTATTTGGAAATCTACCGGATCCTTTGTGCATTTAACTTCCTGTTTGGTGCGATCTCATTGATGGATTTTGACCAGATTTTGACCAAAGAGGAACTCAAAAAAAATAAAATAAAAATTTAAATACACAACCAGCATATCTGGAATCAGTGACAGAGAGCGACTGGGACCAGAAGTTTATTAATTTCTCCCCATTGATTTCCATTCAAAATGTTTTCGCTCCCACCGGGCTCTAGGGAAGGGGCGGGCATACCGCCACCTACTGTTCATGAGTGTGTAGCAACATTGTTTTACATCTATTAAATTCTATTGTTTAATTTTGTATTCTGAAGATAAATCAATAATGCTTTCCTTAAACTATAAATATCTTTTATATTTCCTTTATTTCCCAATAATCCTTTAAGACTCCATTCTTGGCCTGTCCTCTTTTCAATTTCTTCCTTTCAGGTCCAGATGTTTTACAGTTCATCAATACGTGTTCTATATTTTCTATCTCTCCACATCCTTCACATTTATCATTATTTTTCCTCCCTATTAAGTATAAATTGTCATTTAAATAAGTATGACCTACTCTTAATCTGATCATTATTATTTCTTCCCTTCGGTTTCTCTCATTAATATTTCTATTTAATACTGACTTTTGTACTTTATGTAACCTTCTTCCTTTTTATCTTCATTCCACCTTTTTTGCCATTTTTCAATTTCTTTCCTCTTAATAAATGATTTTCCTTTCCCTAAAAGAATTGTAATTGTTATTTGTCTACTTTTCATTCCACCTAACTTTCCATTAATTAGCTTGAAAACAGCACTTTGTAGGCACCCAGTTTCTCTAACAATGGCCCTTTTTGGGTTACCCTCCATGCATTGGGTGTCAGTTCATTTTCTTAGGGTTGACCAGGCAGTACAATAATGTGCATGTGGCCAAAAACTAATAGGGATCAAATTCGGTTCAGAGTCAAGCTATTGGGATCAGGCTTCAGGTTCAATTTGCATATTTTCTTAGCCAAAACAAGGATTTGTTGGGCTACTGTAATTTTGAATTGAAAAACGTCCTGAATGGGAAGTCTTCAAACTTGAAAAACAAAGTCCAAAGTTTTTTTTTTTTTTTTGGAATGATTATGACGTGGATGTCTAAGAATCTTCACCAGCTTATCAGGGAAATGAATGCCCACAATGTCTATATTCTCCAAAAGAGAATAACAGAACAGACCTTCATGAGGCCCTTGTTAAAGCTATGCACATATTTATGCATCTATGCTCTTCAAATAACTTTCTGGTTCGACGCAACATTTACATTAAATGGGTTGAGAGGTTGTTCTTTACCTTTAAATACATAAAAGATTCCCAGATGACTGCCGATACAAACTCTCCCCTATAAAACCTAAAACTAATTCTTATAAGAGAGTAAAATCTGTATTAGTCTTCATTAAATGTAGCGTATTGCTGTAAATAATCGATTGCTTTATTTTTGGTGTCAGCTTTTGGTCAATATGCTAACCTTAAAAGGTCAAAGTGGGAAAATGTACCCCCACTACGGGTAGTAGTGGGGTAGTAGTAGAAAAATTAGCAATTAGAGGAGGCAATAACAATTACAATTCCTTTAGGGAAAGGGGAAGGAAAATCATTTATTAAGAGGAAAGAAATTGAAAAATGGCAAAAAAGGTGGAATGAAGATAAAAAGGAAGAAGGTTATATAAAGTACAAAAGTCAGTATTAAATAGAAATATTAATGAGAGAAACCGAAGGGAAGAAATAATAATGATCAGATTAAGAGTAGGTCATACTTATTTAAATGACAATTTATACTTAATAGGGAGGAAAAATAATGATAAATGTGAAGGATGTGGAGAGATAGAAAATGTAGACGTATTGATGAACTTTAAAACATCTGGACCTGAAAGGAAGAAATTGAAAAGAGGACAGGCCAAGAATGGAGTCTTAAAGGATTATTGGGAAATAAAGGAAATATAAAAGATATTTATAGATTAAGGAAAGCATTATTTATTTATCTTCAGAATACAAAATTAAAAAATAGAATTTAATAGATGTAAAACAATGTTGCTACACACTCATGAACAGTAGGTGGCGGTATGCCCGCCCCTTCCCTAGAGCCCGGTGGGATCGAAAACATTTTGAATGGAAATCAATGGGGAGAAATTAATAAACTTCTGGTCCCAGTCGCTCTCTGTCACTGATTCCAGATATGCTGGTTGTGTATTTAAATTTTTTTTTTTTTTTTGAGTTCCTCTTTGGTCAAAATCTGGTCAAAACCCATCAATGAGATCGCACCAAACAGGAAGTTAATTGCACAAAGGATCCGGTAGATTTCCAAATAAAACACATCCGATCTTAACCCATGATCCTTTTTTTAACTAGTTTAATTAGTTTCTCCCGTATGCCACGACGTAATGCATTGGTCTGAAAATCAACCTCAGACGCAACGCACGCAGTGGCGAGGGTTTGATCCGTCAGATGGAGTTAAATCACAAAGAATTCAATGTTGAATCGGGGCGGCAGCTAAATGCTAGGAGATGGGTAGCAGCCAAAACGTTGCAATTTCACATAATCCTGACGAGATCCGAAAAACCGTAGCAAAAACTAGCAAGCGGGTGATTATGTATGTTCACTAAGTAAATATTATGTAAATAAACCCTACACTTCTCGCTATAAATGTAATCAAAACCCATTTAAATGCAGAAACTGATTGAAATTATTGATTTTCCCACTAAAAGTTAGAGAAATCTCAGCCATGTTTATACCAAAATGTTACAGTTTCACATTATCTTGAAAAATCTTTGCAAGAAACGAACAAGCAAGTGAATATGTACATTCCCTGAGTAAATATTCTGGCAACAAACTATAAATTTCTTACTAGAAATGTAATCAAAACTCATTTTAATGCAAAAACAAACTCAAGTCATTAATCTTTCCACAAAAAAATGAGCGAATGTCGGCCATCTATATATTTTTTTTCTTCTCCCAGCTGGAATCTTGAAAGTCACGTGACTAGGACGTAAAACAATAGAAAGCGTATAGGCAGAAGAAATGTAACAGTACCACAAAAAAATGGCCATTAATGTACCTCCACTACGTTTTGCAGTGTGGACCAACGTAGTGGGGGTACATTTTCCCATGAGACTGGGTTGACTAGAACTACATAGTTGGTACCTTTAGGATCTTTATCATCTAAATCTGGAGGACATAGGGACCCCTATTTCATCATTCTGCTTCATTCTATCTCTATTCTCCCACTCTGCAGAATCTGTTAGTTCAATCTCTAACGTTCTGCTCTCTCTGCTTTTTCTCATAGTAGCTTCATCTGGTCTGTTCCTGTTTGGCTGTGACTCCATCCTGGAGAGAAATATCAGCTGTGCTGCTGCCATCAACACCTTTGTTTCTAGATGTTGGAGCTTGGCCTGTTTTCCAGTGTAGTCCTGTTTCTCTGACTGTGACTAACTGGATGTGCTCTCTTCATCCTCTGACATGGGAGATGGCTCGGAGCTCGTCTGCCTGGCTGTGTGTT